CTACTTTTCTGCTTTTACAGACGCCCCAATAGGAGGGTAGTTAATTGTTGTGTTTATAGGCAGGACTAAGGAGACACCAAGTCATGTGAAGACAACATAAAAAATATCTGCTCTGTTGACTACACTCTGCCTACAAAGAGGAGCTGCACCTCGGTCACTGCATATCAGAATTTTATGATAGAGAATGAAACCTCTCAGCTGTAAACACAAGAGAGGGAGGAGCCAGTGTCTAGCTCTAAAAATCCCCTCTGCTGAGGTGGTACACTTCAAGAAGTACACAAAGGTGGCGCTTCATGAAGAGATGAAGGAGAAGCCCACATCCATATATGTTCTTCTGCTCAGGGTTTATTGAGGCTGGTAACAAGCACAGGGATCAGTCTTGACTCCCTCTGCCAGTCCAAGTGGATACTAACTCTTGCACAGGGCAGATGTCTGATATTCCCTGCACTGCTTCTCTGGTACCCAATATCACAGTGCAACATAGCTCTTCTCTTATGTTTGAAGTCTTTCCCAAGCATGCAAGGCCACTCTGAATTTGCATCAGCCCAGTTAAAATAATAGATTGGCATGAAAATGTCCATTATGGTTAAGCAACACTGATGCAAATGAACCAGACCACTCCTGTTAATTCTGGGATGGTTTTTCTGGTTTGGTTGGTTGGTTGGTTGGTTGATTGATTTGGTTGGTTTGTTTGTTTGTTTGTTTGTCTGGTTGGTTGTTTTTTGTTTGGTTGGGTTATTTTAGAGAGACATTGAATTGCAGATGGCAGTACTTCTTACCTTTTACGGATTTCAGCCAACCAAACAAAAAATGGGTTTTCTGCTCATCTAATAATTCAACCCTTTTCAGTATTAGATTACATGAACCCAGTTCAAGGATCAATTTATTTGTTACTGTCTGGGAGTGCTTCTCCCAGCAGAAAGCATTAGCTCATTCAGCTCATTGCCAAGTTTGTGTTTACTTTTATGTCTGAGAACATATTTACAAATGGCACCGGTGTATTGGATATGATCACAAACAACCTCATTTCTGTTTAACTTTTCTGTCTTTAAATCTCCTCAATTTATTTGACCAACCTACATTTTAAAGAACAATTTATGTTCTTGTTTTTTTATTCTGCTTCCATTTACTTCCGAGAGTCCCAGCCACTTTGCTTGAGGAAGGTGGAGCATTTGTTTCAAAAGGCTGCTGGTTATTATTCTTAAGTAGAGCTTATCATCCAAGGATGACAAGGAGTTGGCCTAACGATCAACTAATTGTGGCCTCCTGTTATTTTACGACACCATTTTTAACCTATTTGCCTGATATAGACACGAGAACACTTCTGACTTTAGGAATGTGGCAATACAAACTCTGTGCAGAGAATCTTGGGCTTCCATTTTCCCTTGAAACAAATTTCACCTTTCTTAGATTCTGCTTAATCATGCTTATGCTAATTTCTGCCTAAAAAATAGTCTCTAGTTAGTTACTGAATTACATGCAAGCAACCTACTTCATCTTCTGTAAGAGATGGATCTTCCTCTCGAGACTTGTAAGACACTGAACTAAGCCTCTGTAAAAAAGGAAGAAAGAAAAAAAGGCTCATTACCCATCAACAGTGTAAAACCTATAATAAAACCCTCCCATTACAATCAATACATTACATTTCATGGTCATTTGCTCTCAAGTTCATTTTACATAGATAATATCTCTAATATCCAGAGTACATCTCTGGAGATAACAGCCCTGAGGTTAGTAATGCTTTTCAATGTATCTGCTCTTGTCCTGACCTGAAAAGGGTAAAAATAATGTAATGATTAAAACAAACTCTGCTCTGCTGTATCCCAGCCTTTACACTTCTAATGAAGCACCTGGAAAGGCTTCTCAACAATTAGAAATTAGCTGTTGTGACACACCAGTTGCCCTTTCACGTGATTTTCAGATACACTTTTAGATGACAAAAGAACAATGCTCAGCTGGCACCTTCTTGATGCCTGTTATCCTTCATTCTGTGGATCCTGGAAGTGCTGCAGGGAGACACTGTGTCCTCCCCACTCCTGCCCCAGGAATGCAGCCTCTGTGCAGAGGTTCCCAGCAGCCTGAACTTACAGTCATTTGAACCTGCTGCAGCCCATGCTGAGCTGGAGCCAGGTCACACAGCAGAGGTACTGAAGGATGGAGGGCTTGGTTTGGTATCAAGACTAACTTCCAGCATGTAAAGCGTTCTGTGGAAAACAGGTCATGAAAAGTTGGGGAGAAACCATTTTGCTCTCATGAAAAACATCTTAGGACCTTTACAGCAACAAAGACCCTGGCTGCTACACCGTGGGTGTGCGGTGCCTGTTCCCTGGGGCAAGAAGTCTTTGCTGGACTCCTGCTCCACACTGACTCAGAGGGAGCCTTCCAGCACTGTAACAGGCCATATTTTGGACTTTCACACAAATTTACCACCTAAAACACTTCCTACCTCTCCCAGTACAAACCAACATGGAGCAATAGAGCTATTTTTAGCACAGTCAATTAAATACCGCTTCCAGGCACACAAAACTTGTTTCCTTTTTTTTTTTTTTTTTTTCACAGAGGCTCATTATGATAGATTCTTTCCTACTTTCATTTAGTTGGCATTTTTACTTCTGGTAAATACCAAGCTCCAAACTTCTGACAAGGACCATGACCCAAAGTACACTGAAGTCTGCCTGCTGCTCCCCAGGAGCTTCCCTCACATTGAAAAATTCTCCTGCTTCTTTCTCACTGTCTGGAGAACATGCTCTTTAACCTGTGTTTTGTTTACTCATTAAAAAAAAAAAAAAAAGTTCAAATGTATTTTGGCCTTGTATTAGATCTGCTTCACTAAAGCAATTCAGTTTAGCCTTTCTTATTTGCAGGACATTTTTTGTGTTGGGGAGTAAGTTACTAATTTCATCCTCACACATTAAAACAAGCATGTGCTCACAAAATTCTTCAGTGATTTTTCTGTCATCAGCGTGTCTATAAGCACCATGTGTCAGGACCCCTTCTACAGTTTCCCACTCAGGTACTGAAAAATACTCCAGGATGTTGGCCATCCTGTATTTGTTTCCCAAGGATCTAGTGTTCTTTCTTCTAAATGTGAAACCTGTGACATATAAATTTTGAAGGATATTGTTATCTTGGAAACTGAAAAAAATCCCACTTGCTCCTAAACATTTTATACCTAGCAATATTATAAACTATGCCTGAAACCTCAAAAACAGCAAGAAAAACAGCAGATGTCCTTATTTGCCTTCCACTTTCTTTTTCTTCCTCGACAGCACTCGAATTTTTACTCTTTGGTTCAGCTGCTGCTCCTGACTCGGGCAGCAGAACTAGGAGAACATTTGCCTCTGGTGCATTTGTAAGGGATACTTTGCCCATGCTCAGGCTGCGCAAGGCTGAAGTCAGATGGCAGCAGCCAGATGTACACACAGAGAGCATTTCTACCAGTGCTCACTCAGGAAAGCCCTGGGTGAAAAGGGAGATCCATACTTCCTTTTTTTGTTTTTTAATTAAAAGAAAGTACTAAGTCAAAACTGTTTGCCTTTCCAGTTTTATTAGAAGAACTATGCTCAAGTGTTGCAGGTGATAGAGGCCCTATAAGAAGCCTCGTGCTATTAAAGGTGTCCTTCTTCATCAAAGTCTTACAAAAGATTTTGCTGGGTCACAGCCAATAACCAGTTTGGATACTTAATTTTCACCTGTTTATTGCACACCCAGCTCTTAAAAAGATGCTTTATCCATTTCATGCTGCTATATACTAGAACAGTCTCTGGCTTGGTCCACCTAGCTCTCTCCCAAATTTGTGTGCTTCAGGAACTGGCATCGCCTGGGGATCACCCTGGCTGCCCTCTTTTCAAAGGTGAGACTGAAACAGCTTGGACATGGTCTGTTCTCTCTTGGTTGGCAGGTACAAGCCTTGGTTACACAAGCAGCCTGGCCGCCTGTCCCTTCTTTGTGCCCTATTAAAGCAAAGCCTAATTGTTGTGATGGAGTCTTGCATGACTTCCACACAAACTGTCTTCATCAGGGCCAGGGCAGAAGGTTGAAGAGTTTGGGATACAGATGTCATGTTAGGCAGGGCAGCTAAGTAGCCCCACAGAAAAAGAAGCAAAAAGAAACACCTATGGTATCTAACTTAAAAGAGTTATCAGTACAACATACATTTCCATAAACATCTTGGCTTGGGTTGCCACGTAGAGAAAAACAGGCATTGCTCTGCATTGTTTGAGGCAGCAAAATAGAGGGGAAAATTATCATGATCACAACAGAAAAACAATCCTGCAACCACCTCCCCACACAATGCCAACAATAATGACATTTATATATTCCATCAATTACCATTTCCAACTCTGTTGCAGCTGTAGCTCTCAAGGACAGGACAGGCACACGCTTCGATGCATAATGCATGTACCCAGCAGCAAGCGCGGGAATGATCTGATGCTGCCAAAGCTTTAACTCGGGATGGCTTCAGCTCTGAATAAATTTTAATTAGACAAACACTTTTTTCCCTGGCACTTAGGGGACTGCATGTGTCATCTCTTGATTAATCCTTCAAAACCTGAACCATTTTAATCAATTCCCACTCCTTGCAGTTACTGACAGTGCATACATGGTGTGCTGGGGAGCTACAGAACAGCAAAGGCTTTTTCCTTTGTATCAATGACTGGGAAACACAATGATTTTCTGCAAGTCTTTTCACACCTGGTAGGAAAAATGTCACTGTTACAAGTTACAGAAATCTGTTTCTCTAAAAGTTTAATTAGAAATTACTTATGGCCTGAATCTGGGAGGGGTGAATGTTGGTGGATTATTGTTGACAATCATGTCTTATTTTTTTACTTGATGAGCTCATTATTTGTAAGAATGTGCACTGAAGAGTCCAGCTAAACAATTTTTGTATTATGAGTAGTCTTCAGTTTATTCATTTGGACTCTATTGTGCTTTACAGGTTACATGGTTAGTTAGTTATTTAACAAGTTATTTTTTTGCCTTTTGCCTGGATTACTGAAATACTTCAAATAAGAGAACAACCAGAACCAAGTAAAAATACCTCAGCTCTGCTATGATTTTTCAGGTAAATGTTTACATTAAAAATTGCATCTTAAAGAATTTTTTTAAAATGTTTATCAATACCAAATATTATTTGATGACTCAGACACCAAAAATCTTCTAAAATTAAGAATCTTCAAAATTAAGAAAATATCTAAACTAGTTCTGAAAAACGCAGACTCAACAGTTTATGAAAAGTCCATGCAATGAACCAAAAGCATTCCTTAAAATGAATTCTGATTAAAAACTAGAGATGGAAAATAAATTGTTGAAAATGTCATCATTCTATTTTTCAAGGACTTCACCACAACTGTTCCTAGGGACAAAAAATAAGCTGCTGAAAAAACTTAACTTTTGGCCATGAGTTCAGCAGGTAGAAATTCATTACTGTGTTTATATGTGACATACAGGATTTGACAGATATAAAAGCCTACTGCTGCAATCTCTCTTTCTGTCCCTCTCTTCTACAGACAGAGACAAGAAGAGTTGCTTTGAGCAGGTGCCTAACACTTCCACAGCAACGAGAAGGTGGCCCAACAAAAGAGGCACATCAAAAGTCAGGGCATCCACCAAAGATGCCCTCCTCTCCTTTTTGTAAATTGTGGTTAAAAAGAAGAGGGGGATTCTTTATAAGATATAGATGCTGACAGAGATACTAGATACCCATTGTAATAGCTTCCACAAGTATGTTAAACAAAGAAGCAGAGGCTGCCTATGTAATTCCAGGATAATATTTGGGAAAAGCTTTATGTAATGCATAACTGCAACGATCAAAAATATAGGCTGCAACAGAATGAATACATGCCTATAATGCAAAGACTATCCTGTACACTTCCATATTTCCCTACTTTAGTCTTGCATCACCTTAAGTGTCGTTTTTCTTCTTGGCATTTTTTGTTACTAAAAAATAAAATCCTCTCCCACCCATATGTTCTCTGTCATTATCTGGCTGTTTGATGAGGACAAGTATTTGCAGTATTTACCTTCTCTGGTTTACTTGCCCCTTCTGTCACTTCTTCTTCCACTTGTTTTTCTTGCACATTCTCATTTTCATCAAGAAGTTTCATGGGTACCGGAGGGGGAAGCTCATCCTCTACATCTGGTATATTGTCAAGAGGACTTTCTGAATTAGCACTTTGGCGACTCTTCTTATTTCGGTCAACAGATGCATATTCTGCTGATTCAATTCTGCACTCAGGAATCTGATTCTGACCTTCAGAAACTGTCAGTGAAGTCTTTGATTTGCTGTTACAGTTCCCTTCCATCCTGACTACTGCTCCAACATCTTTAATTTCCTTCACAGTTTCATACAAGCAGTCTTCAACTATGTTCTCCTGAGAGGAGCTGTCTTTCAAGACTTCATAAGGCCCTTCCATTCCGAGACCTTGGTCATTTTCTGCATTTCTAGCTGAGATGATGGTTTCCATGGTTGTGTTAGGGGGAATACTGGGTAGTTCCCGGCTCTGGTGACATTTTATAGACTTTCCAAGACTATCCTGTTGATCTGGTAGATCAGATGTCTGTACTTCTTCATAAGGCTGGATACAGGCAGTTGTACTGTCTTCGGAAAGAACTAAAGAAAATTACGAAGAAGTATTTCAAACAAATGCATAAGTAAGGGGTCAGTGTGATTTGGTACTCTCTATATCACTTTGTTTTTGTGACACATTGGAAAGGATAAATGATACTACTGCCTGGAAATGTCTAGTGGTCACCATGGTTTTTGTTCATCAAAAAGTTTCAGTTACAGAGATATCTGCGCTCTACTGCTAAAATATATTTCTCACAACATCTGAAACAGTCTGTACGCCCCAAAGTCACATTATATGGCAACAGCATTTACTGTAAGAAAAGGGGACAAGGAGGGTAGGTGCAGGTGTGCATGGATATTCAGATGCCTTGTACTCAGTTTCACCGAATGATTACAAAGCGCTCAGGAGACTCAGATGGGAAACAGGTGGGAAGCCTCAAACCAAGTGTCTCGAAAAAAAATCCTTGTTGATTTAAAAAAAACACACCCTTGCTACATTTTAAAAAAAAAAAATCCTTGCTAGATTTTCCTGTTTCCATTTTCCTATTCTTTGGAATCAAAAGGAAAGTGTTCTTGCTTCCTCCCTACCCATCCATCACCTTGTTTAATATGCTGGCCAAATTCTCACTGGAATTGCACTTCGCTCAGCCCTGCCACAGCCAGACTCCCTGCATGCTACACCAGAAGCTCCTCACTGGAAGGCTATGCCATAATTCTCTTAGTCTCGCAGCACATAATGTAGATTGACAACCTACTAACAAGCTGGCCATATGCACAAAAGAGAAGACTAGACTTCAGAACGTAGTGTAGTGTTAGGCAGAACATGTTGCTTTAAGCCCCAGAAGCGGGCCATGTGTCACTATCACTAGAGGGTATTAAGGACTGAAATCTGTGGGGCTTCTCATCTTACACTGCACATGTATGACATTTACATGCATTCAGGGATGTATACATGGGCATATACAAGCATGTTTCAGGTAGTGTATGGTATGTAACTTCACCTTACACTATTTCTTTAAAAAAACACTTCTGAATAGCTTAATTTTTCTTCTTCTTCTGAATAGCTTTACTTCTTCTGAAGAGCTTTTCTGTTAGGTTCCTACAGTACTCTCTCAACAAAATCAACCCATTCTTCCATATCCTTCCATGTGTTTGACATGATGACATAAAGTGTTGCCAAACCAATTAATGCCCTTGATTTGGCGGTTGCCATGGATGTTGCTTTTTCTTACACTTAGGGCGTGCAGCCATGGTCAGCACCTGCAAGGAGCCAATACCTGACTGCAAAACTCAGGATGGAAATGGAGGTATAAGATGGTAATCACTGTCTGAATGGGAGATGGGAGAAGGAAAACATCCTCCTTTATTTACTTAGCTCCTGCAAAAAACATGGGGAGGAACAGGAGACAGGCAGGTTGTCCTACTCACTGCCTGGGATGCCTGTAGATTTTCTGGAAGACATCAGGAACCATCCTGGAGAAGCTGGAACATGTTTTGCTTCTCTGGCCCTTGCTTCAGGGATTTCTGTGCTGTGCAGAGCACCGCCACAGAACCCAGACAGCACACCCCCCCAATTCATCCTGGAGGGGATAATCATAAGTAATAAGAGCTCATGTTTTTGTGCTTCTGTGGTTATGGGTAGTAGCACAAAAATGGTTGGTGTAGCAAAGGGGTTGGCATAGATAAGACAATGCTGGCAGGCTGGGTAAAGGAAAAAAACACATCACTTGATGGTTCTGCTTCTGTAGCCCTGCCCCTACTCAAAAAACTAGCAGAAACAGTAATAAAAAGAACTATTAACAAAAAGAGTGTGTAAAATATAAGTGAGAAACTAAAGCGCATTGGTTCCTATTATTCAGAAGGGATGTTACACAGAGTGTAAGCTGAGTAATATGAGACAGTCTGAAAACTGTCTGCTGGTTGACAGCAGCTCTGACAGCTGCACATGTGGTGACTCATGGTAGAGAGAAATCCTTCCCTTCTGCAGGGCTTTGATCTGTGCACCAAGTGCCTCTGGGAACCACACACCTACATACACAACAAGCCAATGGAGAGAAGCAGCAATTAGCTGCAAAAACTAAGTTAAAAACGTCTTTGGATACTTATGTCTGAGGGGTAAAGACTGAATAGCTTAGCCTCTGGTTACAGAAGGAGATGAGGAGGTGAGCTGTAAGTTGGAGTGCAGCCCCTGGTGTTGGTGCCTACTGTGAAGACAACAGTTGGCTCCCAGTGGCTCTGAGCTAGAGTGAGTTTATTTTTAGGTGCAGCTAAGTAAAATATTTTCCAGTGACACTTCAGGGTGAATCATTTTGAGTGTTCAGCAAAGCAAAGACTGAGAAAAAAAAAAGGAAGCCTATTTATGTTGCGTGTTTTCTAAAATACAAAAATATAAGTGACAGCCTCTCACAGTGCAGGACTATGATCCCAAGCTGTAGTCCCTGGAGCACGTGAAGTATTTCCACAGTCTCCTGGAGCATTTCTGAAGCTCTAAGGTACAACTACATCTTCTGGTTTTATCTCAGTTCCATAGTTTGCCAAGATTACGGAATGTCAAATTCTTTGCCTGATGGTCTGGTCACTCTGCAGCTATGGCTTGGTGGCCAAGGCCTGGTGGCCCAAGGGAGGACCTTAGCACCTTTCCAGTGCTGGCTGGCGTGGAGGACTGGGACCTGGGGTGGAGGGCTGTCCCAGAGCACACCCAGCAGTGGACATGCAGCCCAAAACATCATCATTTCCATGGGATGATCATCTCCATGGGATGATCATCTCCATTGATTTACCAGGAAGGCAAATGAGTTCACAGCACTTTTTAACTTGGTCGTAAGTTCTGTGTGATCTGGTGTCAGACCTTCAGAGGTGAGCAGAGTATTCAGACAAATGGCACAACTATGTGCTTGGAAGGCACAAAGGCTAGAAAGCTAAGACTGGAGGGATCACCAGTGTACAGCTAAGGTGGGAGCTGTGAGCACTGAGATGGTGCAGCTCACCCATCCCACCCGCAGGGGCTGCCGCTACTCACCCTCACCGTTGCTGAGTGCCCCGTTCTGTTCGCTGTTTGGGGGGGGCTCTGTAGCCGAACTTGTGATGGAATGGCTGAAAACCTCCTTGTCGGAAGGCTGCAACACAAATATTGACCATTGGATCAGAATAAATGTTCCCATGAATAGATATCCAACAAATTTCATTCTGATCTCTGGAGCTCTGACTCATAGGTATTGCTAGCAGGAGAGTCAAACCATGCCAACTATACTCAAAGATTTATGTGCCTGTGTTTACAGATGTTAAAGCAAATAAAAGCAGGTATGTCCAGAGTGATCTCCCCTGAGGAGGGAGCAGCTGACAAAGGGTACACTGCACTTTCACTGCAAACACGGTGAAGGAAAGGCAGGAGATCTGAAGTACAACAGTGGAAGAAAGAGCATTGAGAAAGCGCAGATTATCAAGACCTACGTGTATTCTCCTCTTCTTCCTGTTCTGCAACTTTTAAAGATTCCCTTGCTCAACCTCCTAGAAATTCCTGAGCTATTTTCTAATCTGTGGTATTTTGCAAGGAGCTTGGTACAAACCAACCACAAGACAGACACAAGCTGCCAAAAACAAATACTTACCACATTCATCAGATTTTCATGATCTCCATTCTGATGTCTGGCCTTCTTTTCCCTTAGTGAAAAAGGCATATGAACTGTTACTATAAATTATGCTAATATACGAATGCCAATCATTAATAGACCTTACACAGCTGCAGGAAACAGAACTGCAATTCACAATAATATTGAAAATGGAATAACGGAAAATTATTACAGGGATTGGTATGATGTCTATGTAAGGACACCATCAAGGCAGGATGGTGGTAAACAAAACTGAAGAGGTACAACAAACACACACAAAGCTTTTTCTCATTCGGTCTAAGATCAAAGTGAGGAGTGACTGTTGATAATTACAAGATAATGTAAATAATTACCAGAGCATGTAGAGATGGAACAAGGGGCAATGGCTTCAAACTGAAAAAAGTAGGTTTAGATTAGATATTAGGAAAAAATTCTTTACTGGGAGGGTGGTGAGGCACTGGAACAAGAGGCCCAGAGAAGTTGTGGATGCCCCATCCCCAGAAGTGTTCAAGGCTAGATTGGATGGAGTTCTGAAAAACCTGGTCTAGTGAAAGGTGACCCTGCCCATGGCAGGGGGTTGGAACTAGATGATCTTTAAGGTCCTTCCCACCCCAGTCCATTCTATGATTCTGTGATAATAAAAATATTATTATATTCAATTTAATCATATCTGAAATGCTCAGATACACATGTTTTGCTGATAGACTACCTGGGGAGTTCCTTAAACTGTGCCATTAAAAGGTGTTTATCTTATGAAGAATTAGAAAAGGCCAAAAAAATCCAGCATACTCCCATTCAGAATGCTAGTTAGAATTAATAATAAGCATGAACAGTTCAAAAAGGCCTACAAATTTCATAGCAGCAGAACCCTACATTTTTAAAGGAATCCTGCATCACGGGGTACTTCACAGGACTCAAAGTATGGATCATGTTTCCAGTTTTTACAATATTGGAAATACAGCTCTTATTCAGAAATACTCTAATAATAAGCTTAAAGTAATATTAGTACTTCCCCTAAATGAAAAGGCAAGTAAAAAGTTGAGAAAATACTGACAATATGAAACCTATGCTTCTTCTAAAGTCTGCAGTCTTCTTCTAAAGTACTTCCCACATTAGCAACTGTTAAAATTCTACCTAATTGGGAAATAAGAAAACAGCAAGTAAGGCTGCACCAATGCAGAGCAGCGGAAGTTAAATGCTTAATTTCCTCTCTGTAAGTATTTCTGACTCTGATATTTTAGAACAGATTTTATTCAGTTTTCCATGTTCTCATCCATTTTTGAAGAGTAAGCCAGGAAGAAATTTTGTATAATTGCATTTATGTAAACAACCTGCCCTACAGAATGACCTGAAACAAAAGATAGTGTCCAGACTAGCGACACAAGAAATTTATAAAAGAACATCACCAGAATGTTTCTGGCAGTGTATATTTCTAATTGCAAACACATACTCAGTGGTTTGACTCATCTTTCCAGAGATTTTTCAAGGATTGGTGTGTTACAAGACAAAACACAGAATCATAGAGTCATTTAGGTTGGAAAAGGCCTTTAAGATTAAACATAGTAGCTAAATGCAAAGTTTCTGGGCTAAAGAATTTTTAAAGTAGGTTTTGACTTTTAAATAAATTAAAAAGATATATTTCTATTATTTTTTACTCAGATATTACTGGAAACTGTGGTAATAGGAAGATACTGAAATATCACCAAACGGCTTAGAAAAGCATTTCTTCTGAGTGGCCGCACAGCTGCCTCAATGCTCTCAATGCTGAAGGGTGAAAGCACATGCTCCTATAGGCATAAGCATCCAAACCACAGATTTTGCTGCTGTACCGAATCATGGATAGGGTTTTTTTTCCCCCATAGGCTTGGCTGATTTAGCTATGCTTGTAAAAGCATACAGCAGTATGGACCACAGCAGTCCCACTTCTCGTAGGGAAGGGTCTGGCCTGATGGAAGGGCATCGTGGATGGAGTGCAGGCTGCCCAGCTCCCGTGTGCAGTCAGCAGGGCACAGCTTACATGTCATGAAGGGGCCTTGAAATGTGAATAAACAAAGTCAGTAGAAGTGCCTGTGTTGGTGAAATCGAACTCTCTTATGGAGAAGAAAATAAGGATGAGGTATAAGACTTTAATAGTATCACCATTTGATTCTTCCTCAGTTTTGCTTGAGTGGCAGGATCAATTCCCTAGACTTCAGGAATAACCAAAGCAAAGCTGAAATACATAAAATCCGCTTTCCTTTCTTTTTTATCTATGCTGGTCCTGTTCAGCCCACCTAATGTTCTCAGTTTCAGCTTATTGGTGTGATCTGCTAACAGTCAGTGTCCACCTATGCTCCAGGCTTCATCTTAGGGGAAACCACCAAGTAAGCAAAACAGTGTACTTCTTTCACAGCAAAAGAAAAAAAAAACATTTTAGAAAGAACAGAACTGTTCCAATTCAGTTTTGCTCTGAAAACAGATTTTTTACTGTACTTTTTTTATTTCTGTACCTAAGTCCTCAGTATTTCCTGCTAACTAATTATTAGTGAAGCTATGTCAATCTCTGCACTAAGTGACATAAGAACCATTACTGCGTGCTACGCTCCCAAGCCTTACCTGTTGCAGCTGGAGCAAAGGAAGATGAGGAAGGTGAGGAACAAAAGTGTTGTCATGGCTGCCAAACTCCCCCACAGGATGATGTGGATCTGTCCACTGCCTAAGAAACCACCCTCTGGCCCCATGGTACTAGCAGGAGCTAGTGTCACTTGGGGATGAAGAGGTTACTCCTTGGAGAAGGCTGGCATCTGTGCTGCATGCACCTTCTGTTTCTGCAGGAAGAAAAACACCATTAGAGCTTAATAGAAATTTTGAAGATAACGAACCTGACAGTTACAAGTCTGGCGGGAGAGATTTTCAAATCCAGATCTTACAAAAGCCAGTTTCAAGTACAAGCCAGCCAGCTAAAGAGATTTTCAACTACATTTCTGATGTCGATATAGAACAAATTTGCTAAATATTAACGCAGGATGCTACCTATCTACAATCTCAATGTGAATAAAAGGTACAGTATCTCTGTACTTGTATTTTCAGGAAAAAGTTTATAAACCCACTTTGAGGGAAAAAAATCTACTTTGTGGTGATATTTGCTAATGTAATTGGAAAGTGAGATTTCAAAACCAACTACAACTTCTGCAAATTTAAAAAGCCAAAAAGAGAGCTGCAGCAGGCAGCTTCTTCCCTCTCAATGTCTCCTGCCTGCACGTGATTCGAGGCTTAAAGTGTAATGGCAAATAATCTACATAAGTCTTTGAAAGGAATACCACAAAACCCTTTCTTGCAGCAGGTAAGTTGTATTTTCTTAATAGTATGTCTGGAGAGTAACAATATGGAACTTTCTTTTTTTGCTTCTCCTCACCTGAGTCTAAGAAAACATCAGAGAAAAGTAGACAGGGTGTTTTTTAACAACTTGAATAAACACAGTTTTTGCTACAGCAGAACAGCCCCTGGAGAAACATTCCAGGTAAAAACAATTTAGGTGATATAAGTTTTGGTATACAATATATTCTAGAATTTGTTACATATTTTTAATGTAATACATTGTTGACATGGCAAAATTAAAAGGTCTTTCATTCCGCACTTCCGAAGTTATCAGTTTCTCCATAATTTAGGAAGAGGTTATGCAAAGTCCATTTACAGGCTTTCAGCCAGACTTTAAGACTTACTTTAGTGCATATACTTTCACAGATATATTTTTATATATGAAATATGTATGTACCTATATTTTTTCTCTGCAGCAGAAGCATAGTTGGTAACAGCAAATTCAGTTAGGTATACCTGCATCAAAAAATATATCCCCATTTCATTATTAAAATCTCACCAGAAAAATTGATTTCCAGAAAAAGACCATTCTGATCAAAGGAAATCTGGTGAATCTGAGAACATACTTAACAACTAAGCTATGTGACTGGGTAGTTATTACTAGTGACATTTCTGTTCCTGCATAAAATGGGCTCATTGGTTTCGACCATGTAGGATCAGACTTCTGGACTCCTTCCAAGAAGCAGCAACTCTTACTAATTAATCCACAGTGCATAAAGCTTTTTAATTTTTTTTCTTTTAGGTAATAATGGCATGGATATACCTTGAAATGGGAAGCAACAAACAAAAGATGGCAAAAAACATTACAAAGCACAGTGGTAGCTGCCTTTAACTGCCTTTAACTCCAAACCTTTTTTAAGGGCTTTGAACAGAAAGTATTTATCTTTTCAACTTTTATTTTTTGTGAATTTTCAAAGACATTTTTGTTGTCTTTTCTTCCTTAGTCTTCTCAAGCAATAAAAACGAATTCAAATGAAAAAAGAAACTGTTTTTCCCCCCAAAATACTGGGCAAATAAAAATATAAGAAAAAGAACAGGGATTTAAAAATTATTTTCTTAAAACAGAAGCACATATTTATTTCCTTTTAAAGCAGATACAGAGCTGTCTTGAAAGATATTTAAATAATTCTACTAAGTTCATAATTTTGTACCTACTCTAAAGAACAACACTATATTCCTCTCAGAAGACTAAGCAGTGTAACATAAGGTACTATGGTGGGAAAAATTATTGTTTTATTCTAAATATATATTCTTAAGGCTCCTGGCCTTTAAATAAAGACAATATTTGAGCTAAGGAAAGCTAAGGCTACATGGGGAGCAGCCCCATGGAAAAGCTGCATCTTTGAAGACTTCAGTACAGAGTTAGTAAGTGTTGGGATGAGCAGGAGCAGATGGAGTTCAGACTGAACTTCAAAAGGACTGAGATCAGAGAGAGACAGTCAAGGGAGTTCTACATATGATGTCAGGAGTGAAGTGTGAGATTGATGCTAGACATGAGGCATCCCACCAGGCAGAAGCCAAAATAGCAAAGGGAACGACCAAAACAGAAGATGTAGTTAATTTACAGGAAAAGAGCAAGAATTGCTTTGACTGTAAGTTGAGAGAAAGAGGTCAGAAAAGGACAGAAAAGTACAGTGGCACTTGAACCATGGCAGGCAACCACTGGAGACACCAGTTACCTGTGTAAAATAGAGTAATAACTAGGAATGGACTGATGACAGATGAAGCCTTCCATAAAGGAAGCTGAGCAGGCAAGATGTGACCAGTGACTCCTCTTAGCGCCTTGAAAGGCAAGAGTTTGGTGTAAGGACCTCGAAGCTGTGCAGCATACAGGACAACCAGAAGGCAATACAAAAGAAAAAACCCTGGCCTTCCCCAGTACCTAAAGGGGACCTACAGGAAAGCCAGACAGAGTCTTTTTACAAGGGCATGTAGTGACAGGGCACGGGACAATGGCTTCAAACTGAAAGAGTGTATTAGGAAGAATTTTTTTACAAAGAAGGCAGTTGAGCCACTGTAAGAGCTTACCCAGAGAAGTTGTGAATGCCCCATCCCTCGAAAGTGTTAAAAGCCCAGCTGGATGGCACTTTGAGGAACTTGGTCTAGTGGAAGGTGTCCCTGCCCACAGCAGGGGGTTGGAACTAGATAATCTTTAAGATATTTTCCAACCCAGGCCATTCTATGATTCTATGAGTCTGCATTCACCCTCTGTGAACCCTTCTCATGTAGTGACATCAGAGGGCTTACGCCTTCTGTTTAATGCTTCCCAAAAGATGAGGCTGAAATAGTATTCACTCAGGCGGGTGCCCTTAACACAGAAGAGTTTCTGAAGTAATTGAATCGGGACCAGTACCCTTCAGCTGCCCCAACAAGCCTGGGCAGGCACCTGCCAGAGAGACACATTGAAAACACAATGCTCTGTACTCCTTCTTGTTCTGCCAGGTGAATGCCTGGACTGTAAAATATTAATGTCTGCCTAATACCTTGGATTTTGGAGCTGCTACAGAGGCTAGCTTTAAGAAACTTACTTGCAATGATGATGGAACAACAAGCAGCTAATTTCCAAAAGCTCTCAGAGAGCTGAAATGATTAACTCCTGCTTTTACAATAAAAAGTGATATTGTGCTGCCCCCTGGTGAATCTCTCCATTCGGGAGCTGGGATTTGTGGCTCTTGCGAGGGTGCTTCGGAGCTGGATGTTACAGAGCTGTTGCTACAGATGGAGTTCACAAGGGGCCCTTCATCTGTCGGGCTGGAAGAGATCCTACCTCCACCACCAGAAGGCTGTCAGACTCAAATAGTTCAACCTTGCAGAAAGACATTGCTGAGACAGAATAATGGTCAATGGAACTGGTTTTGGTTTGTGGTTTGTTTTTTTTTTATTAATGATTTTCCTGTGTAATGATCTTGTAAGATGAAGATTTCTTCCACAGATATCTCCATACACCCTTTCCGCAGCTATTTTCATACAAGCTCCTGGAGATGCTGAACTCTAAATAAGAGTAACAGAAATGGGCCTGGAACATCTGAGTAAGAAATCTGGTTATTTCATCCATGGCAAACTGAAAACAGTCTATGTTTGTGTTTCAAAGTCACTATCACTTCAGAAAACTAATCCTTCCACTATACTGGATAAAATTTCTCCTTCTTGTGGGAAATTCTTTCTGCTTTTTACACATCAATATTTCCAATTACTGGAACCCATATGACAAGTAACACCTGCAGCCATTTCCTCAAAATTGCACTTAAATGATCAATTATGTTTGTGGTTTCAGAAGAACAGATATTTCATTACATGACCCACACTTTTTTTGTGAATAATGTGTTATTTTTGCTTGCAACTGCTGCAGGAATAAAGCAGAGCTGAGGCAGTTCAGCCTAAGCTGATGATGAGGGAAATGTATGATGGACAAGTACAAATCCTGGTCCCACCTCTGTGTGGAGTGAAGCAGATACACAGGCTGCTACTTTGGGGAGCACATGGAGTATGAATTTTAACTAGTAGGGAAGCTGCTGCAAAAGCTTGGACTGAGACCTGAACACCTTTGAAGCCTGGGATCTGAAAGACCCAATGAACTTCAGGTCCAGGATCTGGCCTGGATTTTCTGAGCAAAGACCTGCCTGAGCTTATGGTGATGCACATATAGGCTGTGCTTGCGAGAGCCAGACGCTGTGGCCTGGTGGCCCAGCAGGAGATGGCAGCGTGTCCCTTTCCCACCACCTTC